CAGCCACTCACTCACTCTCCCCCCCCAGAGGGCAGCAGAGAGAATTGGGGGGCAAGGGTAAGGAGACTCGTAGGGTGAGATAAGAACAATTTAATAATGGAAATAAAATAAAACTTAAAATAGTACTGATATTAAAATAATAATTATAATAGTAATAAAATATGCAAATGAGTGATACCCAGTGCAATTGCTTAACATCTATGCAGAGAAACACCAGAGTCTGCCTCTCAACACCCAGAATATTTCTGCTGATAAAACAGTCCCATAATCTCAACATGTCTACTCCACATTCTTGAGTCATGGCATGATAAAGACTTTGAAGTTTAACACCCTCAGTAATGGAAGACTTAAACCTGTAATTCTTTTAAGCTTAATATGTACTTCTTTCAACAGGTTAAAGTAGCTGCATGGTCAGTCTCATTCTGTGCCTGTTGTCTTAGGTAACATTCATACACTACATCAGTGTGAACATCTTGTTATGCTGTTTTCATAAGATTATTGATTTCAGATTTCTGTTTAAAAGGAAAACCCCAAACTACCAAATAGCGGCTTTTAATAGTGTTGATAGAATATGAACACTGTAACCTTACAGTTTTCATCCTAAATAATTATTGCAATGAGAAAAGAAATAAATATTTATTTATTATATAATTATTATTATAAATATAATAATAAAAGAAAGAAATATTTAACCTCCTGGTGATCTTTCTTGTCCCTGGCAATCCAGACAGAGCCAAAAGATCCTTTGCCAATAAGACTGAGAGTGTTGTAACTTTTTGCATATTCTCCCTCACATGTCCTTAATCCTTCAAGCTCTTCAGCTCTTTGGGAATTCTCAAAAAGTGAAGTTGATCTGATGGCCTAGGTACGGATAAAAAAAAAAATAGCATGAAAAAAATTGAGCAAGCCACAGAATCATGTTTCTAAAATGAAGTAAATACTGAAAATAAAACACACATCTACAAGAATAGCTAAAAGGAGTGATATTTTGTTTTAAACTGTAAGAACTCTATGTTGATGTTATCATCACCATACAAGACAAGCCAACAGTCAGCTCTCACCAGCTACAAATACTGCTTAATTCAGAGAAAGGCAAAGAAAACAGAAGCATATGCTCCTTAGATGGCCACACAAATTTCTCTGTGTAAGTAGGAAAATGAATTCAAGACTGCCTGCAGTCTCTGCAAGAGCTTCAGGCTTCTCAAGGAATACTTTGGAGGATTCTTCAGAATTTTCTAAATGCCTTTGGGAGGCCAGCCACCCAGAACCATCTTCTATGGCAACACCATTCAACAGCTACTTTTCATACTCAAATGATAATTTGATTTGATGAGTAAGAAGTAGGTTACTTTCAATGTTGTAATTTTTCCAGGTAAGTGTATTCTGGACGTACAGAACTAAAAAGGTGCTGCTTTAAGCCCTGTCTATAAATTTGGCAATTTCTATTTGCCCCAGTAACTTAAAAAGATTTAGTATATACAAGATATTAAATTACCAGTGTTTACCAAACTTTCTGGTAAGATAGCCTTTTAGTTCTGTAGATTGGTCTCTTATCAGACACAAAGAGGAATCAAGTTGGAGGCATATCCTCTTAAATATTAACACCCCAGTAAAATCCCTAGTAAAGAAACACTACTTGCCTTCCTACCAAGGCCTGCAACACTACACAAGAAACTAAACACAGCAGAAGTTTTTCTTGCTCAGAGGATATGGCTTGGGGTTGCTTGTTTCAGCAATTAAGTTTCTCCACCAAAGATGCTCCTTAGAGTCTTCTGTAGTTTGGAACCATCACCACTATACGTTTGATGTCTAAATACATACGTACTTCTATGTTAAGGTCATAATAAAATCCAGCTATGTAAAGATCTGGGGAATGCATACCTTTACTCAAGTGATCTAGAAGATTGCCATTACCTATTTCATGTTGCTCAAAGGGACTATTTTACTCTGCAGCCTTGGTCAAAACACTGACAGTTTAACATCCCTCTACTAACTAAAAAGCAGGCCTGAGCAGTTCTGTGTTGGCATTTTATGGCATTGATGTGTACCTACTGTTCAGCTACGCGGCATTAGTTTTCTGTACACCATCCTGAATGCAGCATCTCAGGAGGCAGCTAAAAACCACCGTTTTCTTTTGTTGACACAAGGAAAATTTTCAGCCCAGTATTTCCTTTTTAAATAGTGATGTGTCACTGGTGCCAGTGTGATTACACTGATTTAAAAATTAATCTCACCACACTGGTGCAAACTTCTGTTGCAGATGTACCTAAACCAACCTAAGAACAAATTTAAAATTAGGAACTTTCATTGTCAGACTGGAGAAGTAACTACACTAAGCCAAACATAGGCTACCAGAAATGTTACAAAATAGCAATTTGTCCTTTTTACAGCAAAGAAATGTTGCTTTTGACATAAAAATAGGGAAACAAAGAAACAGCAATACTCGCCCAACACCTCATGATATTATTTTAATTTGGAAAACTTTTTGACTTTAGCTTTAGACTACCAGTCAAACAAGGAGAGGAATGCTCAATATTATACAATGGTAGAATTCCTTACTTCTCCGAGACTGTGTGTAGAAAGATCCACAATAGACTGGGCAGAGCTTGTTAGACTGGAGAGCAAAAGCTGAGTCTTTGCTTCAGCTTCCTTCTGGCTCTGTAAGTCTTTCACCACCCAGACACAGAAAAGTACAGCAGGGTCCTGCAGTTCCACACGCTTCACTTCGAAGAGTATACCTGTAGAAACAGGTGAGGAAGTTAAAATGGTGGAATGAAACTTTAGCATTGAACGAGACTGCAGACATTTTAGGACAAAATTCGGAGCTCTGAAAGTCAATTCCTGTTACTCATTTGGGAAACACCTACTCAGTAAGGAATGATCAGAGGGGCTGACAAAAGCACAGCTATTCTAGAGATACTTGGCTGCTACCTCCATAGTTCCCACTCCCCAGCAGAAACTTCTGTCAGTGTCCAATTTGGATTATTAACTTCACATTGCTATTCTAAATTACATTAAAATGAGGATTTTATACAACAACCCACTAAATCCAGCTAAAGGTGATCTGCGGAATCAAACCTTACACCTCGTAGGGAGTTATAAAGCAGGTATGTTTTATTCGCCGGCGGGTGACAGGGTGGATCGCTCCACAAAGGCCCTGCACACCCACGCTTTTACAAAGGCATTATTTAAAGTACACACACATACATATTCATTAAATTTAGGATGGGTTAATCTAATTAGTTCCAAGAAATTTTAACATAAGTTCACTCCCATTGGCGCTTGCGTACTGCCTCCTTTTGGTGTTTGTTAGCAGCCTTGTAGACCGTTAGACAAAACAAGGTTGGCTTTTTGCTTCAGACTGCAGGTGTTGCTCACCAGTTCCTTCTTATCTTGCTCCAGACTGCTCGCATACCAGGCACTGCAAGGCCTTTGCTGATAGTGTGGAATAGCTTGTTAGTTATTGTAAAAGTTTCCCCCTTAACACAGACAAAATGATCTAAACTTAAAGTTTCCCACCTAACACAGAGACAAAATGTAGCTAAGCTTATTTTCTAAAATCTAATTCTTAATACAGAAAATAAATGAATAAATGTAACTATATTTTATATGTTTGCATATCAAAGGAGTAAATGAAACATATTCCGTTACACAACTGAAATACAGGTTTTACAATGGAGTTTATATTTTCTGTTCAGAAGAAGTTATCAGGTTCAAATCTTTTAATTGTGTTTTAAGAATATTTCTGACCATTCAGTCTGGATTAACTCCTCAGTAACTTTGTATTTTATACCACCTGCTTTTCCAATACCCTCCAAGACTTAAATACCATTGTTTCTTCTAGATGCTAGAGCTTCTCCTTCCTCCACTGTGAGTTTCTAACCAGAACTGTTTGCCTTCTGCAAAAATGTGGGTGAAAAAGGGCATCTCAATAAGAGTTTTGGGAAGGGGAGAAATAGGTTTAACTTACTTAATTGTGAACCATCTCTGTGACAGCAATTCCCAGTATAGCTGCCTTCCAGAATCTTCAGGGCCAAGGGAGCTGCTGGTTTCAGCCTTCCTTCTTTCACTGGGGTTAAGGTTACTTTTATCTCCATATTTTGCTGCCCACGCAACTTCCAAGTCTTCCCCAGGACTACCTTTGCTTTCAGTGGGTTTCTGTTGATGTTGTCCCCCACAGTCTCTGCAAGAGCTTCAGGCTTCTCAAGAAATGCTTTGGAGGATTCTTCAGAGTTTTCTAAATGCCTCTGGGAGGCCAGCCATCCAGACCCATCTTCTGTGGCAACACCATTCAACAGCTGCTTTTCTTGCCCAATTGAAAAGGCACTGGTTTTCTGAGTTAGCATATTGCCTACAGCCGAGTCCACAGCATTAGAGGATGCTCCTACAAGAGCTGAAGTAGTACCTGAACAATTGTCTGAGTTCCCCTTGACACCAATATTCAGACCCAGTACCTCAAGACCAGAGCAAATACAGTTCAGCTCAGTGTCTGATTCTTTAACATCTTCAGAGGTTGTGGCAACTCCTGGTGCAGAAGCACTGCAACCCATTTTATTTCTTGAGCAAACATCACGGGTAGTATCTCTTCCATTTCCAAAGAAGGATGAAGCATCATTTAGCAGGCAGTTTTCAATGACAATGTGCTCAAGACTGTAATGTCTTGCATCACACATTGAGTTTGTTTTGGACAACTGCCCTGCCACCATACGGCTTTGAAAGTCTTGTCTGCAGTCCAGTGTTGTCCCAGACCATGGCTCACCTATTGTTGGTGTCCCAGGTGAGTTACAAATAACATCAGAAGGCAGCTTAATTAGGCCATAGGATGTGGTATCTAGATTGTCTTCTAGCCTAGAACAAACAGACACCCAGGCAAGATTTACTGAAAAAGCTTGTCCCCAGGCATCAGCAGAATGCTGATGCTTCAGCATTTCATACAGTAACCTACAGATCTGCTGACAAATTACTTCCTTGAGGTCTTGATTATGAACTTGTAATTGGTCAGGGAAGATACTAGTCTCACTGCCATTTCGAGTCTCAGTTGCAACAGATACTGCACTATCTCTGCTTCTTACTGGAACCTTCATGTTCTGACCTAAATCCAACTGCTCTGAATCAGGTGACATGGGAGAGAGTCTTGCAGAGAGCATCTTTTGAGAATTATTTGATCCTGTATCTTGCACTATTCTACACTGTTCCACTGCTCCGATTCTGTCAAGCCAGGTTTCAGGGTAAGGCTCTCTATGGTAGGCTGACCACCCACTGGTAGCAATGTGCCCTAGTTTCACTAGGATAGAGTTAATTGTCTTCTTAGTAGCTAGTAAGTGCTGAGTTTTGGTTTCAGTGTGGGATTTGTTATGAGAAGAATGTTGATAAGGTACTAATGTTGTTGCTGGAAGTTCAAGGACTTTGTGTTTCACTAGTCTGCAAGTGCAAAGGACTGGAGAGGCAAAGTGCAGTAATCAAAACCCAAAATTGGCATTTGGCTCTGCCAATGAGATACTGCATATCATACAACATCATGTTCAGTATATTAATGAGAGCTGACCGGAAAGCTGGGGCGATTCTCTTGGGGATTACTTGGGCTCACACTTCCAGGATTGCAGTTTTGGGACTCTCTCTGTTCTGGGATTGCTAAAGGGGAACAGGCATCAGTTGGCACGTGGTGAGCAACTGCACTGTGCATCACTCATTTGCATATTTATTATTACTGTTATTGTCATCATTATTTTAAGTTTTATTTTATTTCAATTATTAAATTGTTTTTTTCTCAACCTACAAGTCTCCTTACCCTCCCATTCTCTCCCCTGTTCCCTAGGGAGGGGAGAATGAGCGAGCTGCTGTGTTTGGTTGGTAGCCAAGTGAAACCACCACACAATGCTGTCTTCACTGCAAGGATTCAAAGTTATTAGAGATATCATGATGACAAAATAATGAGAAAACCATCATACTGTATACTACCTACTCTTCAGTTACTATGGTCACTATTTAGAACCTGCACCAATTGTTTTATTTTTAAGTTTAAAAGAAAAAGGCAGAAAGCTGTTGGCACAGGCATCCAAAGTCCTAATGAATTCCATCTTGACCAAAGAAAAGCAGGTATACTTCAATGGCACTCCTTCCCTATGGAATACTTTCTTCTCTACCTTAATTTCTCAATATATATCAAAGACAAAAAGCAACAAAAAGCCAATACACATGACAGGATATTTCCAGTCTGGAGAACAGAAGATCTCTTGTCTGTCCAACAGAAGATGAATGTCTCCATCCAACAATTTAACCATGGTTCATTGAAGCCCATAGCAAAAGGTATTTTACAAAAACAATCCATGCAGCAGAGCACTTACAATCCAAGTATGATATGAGAGACATAAACCCAAGAGAGCACAAGGAAACAATGACTATCAGTCTCTCTGAAAAGCAGCAAGAACTGTGGTGTAATAGTTACATATTAAAAAGGGCAGTAAGTCTTTTCTGAGAGTTAGAATTGTTAATGTGGAAGGCTTAAAATTGGACTTAAGATAAACATAATATAGGTACGTGTGCAGAATTTCTAATCTTGTAACAGGAAAAGGACCAAGAAAGGTACAATAAAAATGACTGGACTCTAGTAACACAGTATCCTGTTTTAAGGATGACCTGCCAGTTACACCAGAAGGAATAACATTTAGAATTCACTCCAGGTAACCTGGCTTCAGTGCAACACTAGCTGGTGGATACCATGGAAAGAGATAAACATTCACTGTTTCTGATCTAGAAAAGATAGAGACTAATTACCTTCCCTAGCCTGGGTGAAGCCTTTGGTTCCCTTCAGAGATGGAACTCCTGTAACTTTACAATTGTAGGTTGCAGAGATCTAAACAAAAAAACGTAGGTAAAACTCAACCTGTCTTGCAAATAGCGCTCAGATTCTAAAGAGACCAAAGTGCAGAAGGCTCACATTACACCTTCCCACAGACATTACAGAGGTGAAGAAACAGTTTTCACTGGTGACTGCCACTATGGCTCTTCATTTTTCAAAGTGAATATGCAGTCCATGAAATGCCTACCTATTAGAGGGTGTGGATGCCACTTCAGGAGGTGAAGGAGTAGAAAATAACCTGTTCCCATTATTTTGTTTAGTCTCATCATGTATTATTTTGTCATCTTTGTGTCTTTTCAATTTCTCCTCTTCATCTCTTGACAGAAGGCTGGCTAAAGAAGCAGCCAAGAAGCTGCTGTCTGTACCAAACAAGAAACAAAACCATATCAATTTAACCTTTTATGTTTAGATTTCGGAGACTATAGTGATTAAAAACAATCTCAGAACTGCCTTGGTCTGTCTCATCCCAAAGGAATTAAGTATAAAAGACTTAATTAAGGCAAAGTGGTCCAAATATGAGCACTCCACTCTACTTTGGCCTGAGAAGTCATCACATGCAGGAATCTAATGTTTTCATGTTTTCTAAAAATTTGCATTCCCATCAAAGCTCTTGGCAAACCTGAAAGGAGGGTGTAGAGAGGTAGGTGTCAGTCTCTTCTCCCAGGTAACAAGAGACAGAACAAGAGGAAATGGCCTCAAGTTGTGCCAGGGGAGGTTTTGACTGGATATTAGGAAAAACTTCTTCACTGAAAGCATTGGAACACGCTGCCCAGGGAGATGGTGGAGTCACCTTCCCTGGTGGTATATATAAGACGAGTAGACGAGGTGCTTAGGGACATGGTTTAGAGGTGGAATTGGTAGTGTTGAGTTTATGGTTGGACTTGGTGATCTTAAAGGTCTCTTCCAACCACTGTGATTCCGTGAAAGGTATTTAGCCTCCTGGGTTAGCTATTAGGACTGAAGTTCACAGATCTAAAAAAAGGCCAATGACCATACAGAGATTGGAAATAAAGTGATCTTTCAAATAGTAGCAGAAAAAAAAAAAAAGCCAAAACACAGACACTTCCCATTCCAAATACTTAAAATGAAAAAGACAAGAACTTCTTTCCTTCCCCAGTGACAACAGATCAAAAGAGAAAGACAAGAGTTTGCATGATTAAGTAAACCAAGTATTGTCAATGAGTGAATAAATCTAGATTTGAATCTAGAACAATCCTTCCATTTAGTAAAGGCTGTGTGCCAACAATGCTTCCTCACTGAAGAACTGAATTATTCCTAGGTTAGAGGCATCACTTCATCAGAGAACTACTTAAGAAATTGCACACTGTCTACTAACCCTCCTTTGTTCCATTAGTGTGCATTGGTTTCAATGCAGTTGTGCATTTCTAAGCAAAGAAAACTGAAAAAAAAAAAACCCAAAGCCAAAGGGACAAAAACAGCCTAATGATCTCTTGTGATACAGATGAAAGTATGCACTTGCTTGTTTTCTGTTTTGGCCAGAGCTAGTTGGAAAGAGAGATTTGGAGACATGAGGCTTCCTTGCTTCTGTTTATTCCTGTTGTGTTCAGAGAAATAAAATTTTGATAAATTCTTTGTAAATGCAGTGAACTGCATCAATAAAATATGTGATGCTTCCTAACTGAAACACCACAGTAACACTGAATATTAGCCAGCAACATAAGCCAATTCAGAAGAGTATTAGAATTTTTCCCTTAAAGTATTAGTCCTAAGTATCTACAGCTCTGCTACAAAACTGTCACAAAAGCCATATTTTACACATCTTAAAATACTCAAGAGATCCTAACAGGGGAGGGAGAGAAAGGGATGTTCTCGTTAAGTACAAAGCATTCTCTATTAACTTCCAATCTGGGTATTCAGTTTGATCTTCTTAGCCACAAAGAGAGAAGCACAACCTTCAGTGAACAATTCCGTTCTAGCTTAACCTGAGGTTACAGCGGAAATCCCATTTAAAAACTGTATGGAGGTACACTGCTTTTACAAAGCAGTTCCCATGTTCATAGGCAAATCTCTCATCTCTATTCATTTTACCTCTGTTCCAGCAGCCAGAACCAGCTGTACAGCAGGCAGTAACATCTTCAAAGACACACTCCCCTTCTGTCCCCATGGAGGTGTCAAGAGGAGGTAATGGCAAAGAACAGTCACTGCTTCCCTCCATGTTGTTATAGAAACCAGGGATCAGGAATGTGATGTTCTAAAACACAGAACAAAACCTTATAGAGCTAAGCTGACTGTCACAGGCTGGGGGCAAATGCTGACAATCCTGATTCTCAGGCAGAAGTGACCCACATGACTGATGGAGAACACATAAGAGCACAGCTTGCTTTGGGCTACTTATATCCATTATATATCTGGATATAAGTATATATGGATATACATCTATCCATACTTAAATCCATACTATCTCCTCAGCACTGCAAGACTTATCAATCACAGCAAGGGAATTTGCATATCATTCTACAACTCACTTGTTGAACACATGGAACACAGGTTTTGTGACAGACAAAAATGAGTGTAAAAGATGACTTTCCAATTCCAATGGATATGCTGCCAGACACAGCAGTCTTTTGGGAGGGCTTAAAACTCCTGTCTTACCTTTCCCAACAGTTCTTCCTTCTCATAGCTAAAGAGCATTAAAGCAAAACTATCCTTGATGCCACAGATGGTTCCATCTGACTAGACAGTAATAAGACCACTGATGCTGGAGAAAATAATGACTGTAGCATAGTAATGATAATCTGCAAAAGAGCCACCTTCTTCTGTCTGCAGAACACCAGCGTTCTGCACTGCTGCTTGGTCTTCCTCCAGAAGGCTTACTTGTAGCTTTAAACTGAGAGGAAACATGTTACCCTCTCTGGATCGGCCTACAGCTCGTTGGATCCTGAGGTTCTAAATTAAAGAAAAAACAAATGAACAAACAACAAACAAACAGAAAACCTCTAATTAATTAAATGTTTTGGTTTAATTTCAGTATTCATATAAAATTACACAAGAACATTCTGAGGAAAAAGGTGCAAGAAAAGAAAAGCGAACCAATTCTGTGAATATCAAAATCACCGAAGTCTGGTTTTCTAAGGATTTGGAATCCAGTGTTGAACTCCTATATGA